TCACAATTAGCTGTAGGTACTGGGCATAAAGTGTCATTCGATGATGAGGGTTCAGAGATAATAGAGAAGAAATCAAAAAGCAGTGCTTCTGAAATCCAAAAGAAAGGGAGAGATGTATCCTTTGAACTTAAAACTGATCAAAGGGAAGCCTTCCATTTGCCTTCTTACGAAAGCATCTTCAGATAATAGTTGGTTATGGCACCGAAGCCTCTCCTATATGAATTTCAAGGATATTAACAAACTTGTACTTGGCGATCTTTTACGAGGACTACCTCTTCTGAACTTTGATAAGGAATATTTGTGTGCAGCATGTGAGCTAGGAAACCAAAGTAGGAAAAGTCATTAAACAATGATCAACACCAAAATCATTGAGCCACTAAAACTACTACATATAGATCTTTGTGGTCCTTCTTCCAGCGAAAATATTGGTGGTAATAGATATATTCTGGTTGTTGTTGATTATTTTTAAAGATTTACCTGGGTGTTCTTTCTTAGACAGAAATCAGTTGCCGCATCGAAACTGATGGATTTCATCAGGCAGATTGAGCTTCAATTACGAAAGCCCATTCGAAAAGTTTGCAATGTCAACTATTCTGAATTCAAAAACCAAGCATTTGAAGAATTCTTAGCTGACAAAGGGATTGCGCACAACTTCTTAACTCCTTACACTCCTCAGCAGAATGGTGTCATTGAAATACAAAACCACTCTCTTTGCAAAGTTGCAAGGACAATACTATCCTTTGCGAATCTTCCGCTTTACTTCTAGTCTGATGTAATCGGAACTACTAGTTTCACTCAGAACCGCTCTCTGATGAATAAAAGATTCTTAATCACAACTTATGAGATTCTGGATATAGAAAACCTAACTTTAAGTTCTTTTATGTCTTTGGTTCCAGGTGTTTCACATTTAATTCCAAAGAGCATAGGAACAAATTCGATGTGAAAGAATACGAATGAATCTTTTTAGCGTACTCTCTTACTTCAAAGGTATATAGGGTTCTAAACAATAAATCCAAAAGGATTGAGGAAACCTAAAATGTCACCACTGACGAAAATTATCTGAAGAAGTATTAGAAAATTGATTGTCTATCTGAGGAGATTTTCCGTTGACGAATCCTATCACAAATCCTCTTTCAAATCTCTATGAGGAATTTATGAACTTGTTTGATGATCCTGATAGATCCATCTCCTCATAATCATAGTCTAATGACAATCAAGAGGACAAATTGAAAAAGATAGTAGATGACGCTGCTGATAACATTGAGTTCTCTCAAGAGCCTCCAATTCCTAATGCTTCTGAATTCCCAACTCAGGAAGAACCTTCTGATTCTCCCTTCCAGGGGAGATCTCCTCTTTAAGCTCTAATTCTGATCCTCATTTCCATGGGGAGAATCCTATATACCGAATGAAGGACAAATTGCAAACTTCCAGGGGGGAATGAAAATAATGATTCTGATGTACAATTGGAATTTGAGGAAGTTTATGCCAATGTCGATCCAACTTATGATCCACGTTTTGCTCCATTTACATAATAGACTAAAGATCCCCCAAGAACTCAAGTGATTGGGGATTTATCCTCAGGAGTTCTAACAAGGGAACAACAAAAAGCAGAACATACAACATTATTTTCAAAAATAGAATTTTGCATGTTTAATTCGTTCCACTCCAAGATTAAGACTAAAATGGTGAAGAACACTCTTGATCATGTTGATTGGGTTCAAGCCATGTAGGAAGAACTCAATGAATTTGAGTGTAATAAAGTCTAGAGATTAGTCCCCATTCTGAAGGATGCTTTAGTCATCAGATTAAAATGGGTGTTTCGAAACAATCTAGATAAGGAAGGAAATGTGATTCAAAATAAAGCACATCTAGTTGTGAAAGGATATTGCCAATGGGAAGGTATAGACTAAGAAGAGACGTTCTCACTAGTTGCAAGAATTGAATCCGTTCGGATCTTTCTTGCATATGTTGCTCACAAAAAATTTGAAGTCTTTCAGATGGATGTGAAGTGTGCATTTTTAAATGGTGAGCTCGACGAAACGGTCTATGTGGAACAACCACCAGGTTTCGTAAACGGGAAATTTCCAAATCATTTTTATATATTAGATAAGGTGGTGAATGATCTGAACCAAGCCCCTTGTGCATCGTATGAAGCTCTAACTCGGTTTTTGAAACAATCTGAATTTAAACAAGGTTCGGTTGACCCAACCTTCTTTCTCAAGAAAGATGGTAACCATCTAATGATCGTTCAAATTTATGTTGATGATATATTTTTCGGATCCACTAATTCTGAATTAACAACTAAATTCCATAAATTGATGGAGAATAAATTCAAAATGAGCTCAGTGGGTCCTATTAACTTTTTCCTTGGTTTAAACATAAGACAGAGTTCTGAGGGAATTTTTATTAATCAAGAACCCTACACGAAGACCTTGCTTGAGACATCTGGAATGGTGGGTGATTCTACGGTTATGTTTCCAATGGCATTTGGAACAAAGCTTACTCCATCGTTGGACAAGCCAACAACTGATATAACTCTATATCGACAAATGATTGGATATTTACTGTATCTAACTTCGATTCATCCAGATATTATGTTTGTTGTTTGTTATTATGCTAGGTTTTAGTGGAATCCTCGTTAACCACATATGATTGTTGTGAAAAACATCTTCTGATACCTCAAAAGAACAACCTTTCTAAGAATTTGGTACCCTTCCAACTTAGGATTCTTTATGCAAGCATACTCCGATGTTGAACTTGGTGGATGTTGGTCTCGATCATAAAACCACTTCTGGGGATGTCAGTTTCAAGATGGAAAACTTGTTAGTTAGCAATCAAATAAGCAGACATATGTATCCCTATATATTGCAGAAGCTGAATACACCGCAGTGGCATCATGCACTACCCAAGTTGTATGCATTCAGAATCAACTCATAGATTATGGGATTAATATGAAGAGAATCCCTCTGTAGTGTGATTCAAAATTTTTTATAAGGATATGTCATAATTCAGTGCAACACTCAAAGACCAAATATATAGCATTGTAATGTCATTTTATAAAGGATCATGTAGAGGATGAAAACGTTGAAGTACACTTTGTTAGATCCTCTAATCATCTAGCTGATATATTCACTAAGGCCCTACCTGAAAGGACATTCAATCAAATTTTACAACGAGTAGCAATGATTGAAGCAAACTCAATTCCAAAATCCCCTTCGTAATAAGAAATTATTGTTCACGTTCCGAATGGTTCTGGGCTTCGAAACCGTTCATAATTCATTTTCAAATCCTGATCGATTTCGAGCTTCAGAATTGTCCGGAATCTACTGTTCATCAATATTTTAGGAATAAGTTGTATCCTTTGTACATTAAGTGTCTTCCGATTGATTCTGAGCTTCGGAAAGTTTTGTTAGTTACTGTTCATTTCTATTTCTGAATTTATTTTTCTTTAATATTTTCTTTATTTTCTGTTTTTCATTTCTTTTTCAGAAAATCCAAAAAATCAAAAAAATAATATTTTTCTTTACTTTCTGTTTTTCTTTTATTTTTCAGAAAACCAAAACATACAAAACTAGTTTTGTTTTATTTTTTATATGTGTTATTTTCATAATACATTCTTGTCTCAGGTACACATTGTTATTACCTCTATTCAGAACAATGGGGCATGTATAGAATTCTGAATCTATGTACTAGCTAAGTGTCCCTAGAAGCATGTTGATGCATGTTGTCCCAAGCCTCTGAGACTCTATGTTTGAAGCCCTAATGAAATTTCTTTCCGATTGTTTTTTCCCAATTAGGTTGGATGTTCACATAGGTCATTGAGCTACCTTACTCTTCTCAAATTTGTTAAGAGTTGACTGCTTGGTTATTCTTTTATAGCATAGGTACAATTTTCTCTTTGGAACCATCTCCAACATTTCTCCATCGATTTCACATTCATAAATGTAACCCTTGAGGCTTTTAGTAATTACCACTGAGGTTTATGGTTACACAAAATCTGTTCATGATCTTAAAATCGTTATCACCACGATTTGAGTGAAACCCAAAATCCGAAACCTATTTCTGAATTGACGGTGAAAAATTAATATGTTCTAGATATTTTCACCAATGAATTGACGGTTCAAACCTATATGGTTTGTACCTTTCGCAGTTTGAAATCTCATTTTTTTTAGTGATCTTTATGAAAAGTTCTCATCCCAAGACTTTTCTTCCTAAAAGATCCAGTTTTTAGTTTTCATGATATTTTAGAATTTCATGTCACTTAAAATAGATCTAAAGCTTACTTATTCTTATGGCTACACTGGTCAAAGAAGTACTTCTTCTAGACTTTTGGACTTTTATTGAGTTTCTGAATTTGCTTGAAGCTAAAGCCACCCACGAAGCCTACTCAAAAGAAGCCTTTCACTATATCTTAACAAATAGCAGAACGTAATTCAACGGGAAACCACACAAGCACTTCAGAGTTCCTCTTGACTCAGAAGGAAGAGATCGTTGACCGGGATCCATTTGATTTTGTGTAAATTTGTAATTGACATCACATAATCCCACAAATATAATTTGCTTTATTTCTTTTTCTTTGGCACATTCTTGCAAAAAAAAAAAATATATGATTTTTTTTCCAACTCCGGTTTTAATTCCTTTGAGTAACTATTATTCAGAAAAAAAAGTTATGGTGTATTGGCATTCAATTTAGAATAAGTCAAAACTGAAAAGCCAGTTTTTTTGGGGATAACGATTGAAATCAGGCGCTTTAGTTTTTAAAATCTCTGACATCATGCATGTCAGTTACAATGTCTCCTGACACATATAGTTGTCACGATATTCAAGGCTTATTTACAGGGATATGGGAACGTTAAACGATGGATTTTCTCTCTCAATTTATCATAGGCGTATAAAAACGGTTTTGACGATTTGTTTTCTCTCACCGCTCAAAAAGTTAACAATACTCTGAAAGCAAAACCCCTTTCTCTCAATTGTTCATCGTCGTCCTCAATGCTACCATGGTTGTTTCATCTGAAACTGCATCTTTCGCTTATCAATCGACCACTGTGGTCATGCTAAACATGAAGCCTAGTCAAAATCTAATTCTCGATCATACCGCCTCATGCTACAATGAAGCCCTAAGGCCGATGGTGGAATGTTTGTGTGTCTCGCCACTGGCTCAAGCTCTAACCATGGCAAAATTCGTTCCTCTCATCCATCTTTCAAAGGCATATTTTTCTGCTTCTTTCGTTCAAGTGGATGATGTGATTCACTTTGAGGTTGCTTCATGTAATACCTTTATTACCAAAGCTCTTCTCTGCAGAATGTTAAGGTTTGGTTCATCTGACATCCTTGTTGATCCTAATTCGATTTCCGCAACTGTTCTAATCGACTTGTTTTTACCAAATGGGCTACATTGGGGATCTGTCTCTGTTATCCAAGTTCAAGAAGCCCAATCTTCCTCCCATGTGGAATGGTCTATTCACGTTGTTGTTCAAGAACTTCTCTGAACGCGTTGCTGGTTCTGACAACGCTAATAAGATCGTTTACACCATCATCTATGAAGTTGAAGACATCGTTCAGATTTTCTGTCACACCCCGAAAACCGAAGGCGGAAACATTTCTGGGGTTGACTCCACGTTTTGTATCAAATCCAATGCACATAGTAAGTAAAGTAAAACAACCATTACATTACATATAGAAAAGTTTACATTTGTTTCAAAAGTAGAGTTATACAAGTGATACATAGTAGATATGAACAAAATGAAACGGGTATTCTGAGCACTCTGTCTTCGAACAAAAGAATCTTCGGGTACCTGTCTAACGTGGACCTGAGAATACAAGCATTTTAAAAATCAACATAAAGTTGGTGAGTTCATAAGCGATTTTGTTTTTTAAAAATGTACAAGTTTCCTTTCCGGATTCTGAAAACATTACGACCCAAGAAAATCCCATATTTTCTTAAAAGTAATGTTTGGTTAGCTGTTAGGTTACACGGTTCTGGTTATGTTCAACTGTGATCCCAAGAAAATCCCATATTTTCCTAATGTGAAAGATGTATACTGAAAACCCGGTTATCCTTGTAAAGTGTGTGTTAGTTCACTAATCCCAAAGGTAATGTAAAAGATGTACTCTGAAAATGTATTAGTTTTAACACGTTTATAAAACTAACATATACCAAGTAAACTAGTTACTTAACCCATTATTACTATTTTGTAAATCTCTGTCATCCAGATTGCGAGTTCCATAACCATATAATAGACTAATTAGGGCAATAAATAGTCCATCACCCTATATGACTTTCGTCACCCTTGAACCTTTCTGTTCTGCTGTAGCTAGCAGCCAAATGTGGGGTAGTCTGCCCCGTATAGATCTATACACTCAAGTCACGCTCCCTATCTAAGAGATTCTGGTTATGGGGGCGGTCGTCCACTCGCGTATCTCTGTGGAGTGTTCACCGAGGACGTGTCTCCAATTATAGGATTAACAAATTTACTAGTAATAATACTGTAAGATCAATTGACTATCCTCCACTTGCGTATCTCTGTGAAGTGTTACCGAGGACAAAACCATGTTCAAATGTTATGCTTTTAACTGTTATATTGTGGGAAAACATTTGTGAAAATATAAATACAACAATTGATAATGTAATTCACAAATAACATGATAGTGTGTCATGTAAGTTCAAACGGTTGTTTGTTATGAGTGTCAGTGTTAAAAGCATATATATTATGAAACACAATGTATATAAAACAAGTTTCGAGTACAAGTATCACTTGTACTTTGCTTGTATTCCCCCTGAAAACAATGAAAACAGTGAAAGTGGGTAGGGGTATGAACTCACGAGACGAGAAGGCGCTACTGTTTCAGACACTAAACGTTGGTTCGGGGCTTGATTATACACGAGGTTCCTATGTGATATGAAATGGTATCCAAATGTATCTAATTAGACTTTAAAACACTAATTAGATATGATAATACACTCCAATGAGCGAAAACACTTCAAAACAAGTGTTTTGAGTGGCCCGGGTGACATCTACGGACACTAAACGTTGGGAAGTGAGTTTACTCTTCAAGAGTAAACTCCTTAGGGAGTTTTCGGCCACATACCCCATAGATACATGAGTTCACGGCCGTGAACTCATGATTGGATGTTTTGGGGTGCTAAATGGCTTAAATGCCTATGGTAAATATTGGAATGGATTTTTCTAAAGCCTTGGAATACATTAAACTCACTTAAGGACCATTTATTAGAGTTTACGGTAGTAAACATGGAGTTTACGGCCGTAAAATCCCCCACACCCAATTCTTAGTTCATTTGATGAGGCTAGGACAATCACATGTGATTCCAACTATTTTTCCAAGCCTTGGTATGAGTTTTCGGCATCAATTGACACATAATGAGGAGTTTACGGCCCTGGAACTTGTCCTTGGGGTGTCATGGCCATAAACTCTCATTTGGAGGGTGTTTGACATGTTTAAGGTCCCCAAACTATTTTTAGATGATTCAAGGATTTATTCCAAGGCTATTGGTGTTGGGTTTTGAGCAATCTAACACTTCCTAAGTGTGCATGCAACCCTAATAAACCTTGGATCTATGTTTGTCTAAATACATGCAAAATAATAATTTTCCAAGGTTCATAACCTATCTAACATGGCATGGGGTACTTTTAAACATAAAAGAATTAGATGAGATTAAATACCTTTTTGATGAGTTTGATTCTTATGGAGTTTGAGGGCCAAGCACCAATAGTGTGAATGCCTCAAATGGAATCACAAATGACCACAAACTCTTGGAAAACTTTGAGAGAGTGTATACACACTACAATTTCCGGCCACACACAAACACACACACTAGTGGCTATTTCATGCAACAAAAGCATGCTTATATAGTGTACATGATTAGGGTGAAACCCTAATAACCAATGACCTTTCCTTTTCCAAGGATCCATGGGTTAAAAGCTCCATGGATCATCCATGGACTTCCATACAAGCCTGGTCCATTAACAAATGGGTGTTAGCCCACACCATATAATACCAATAACCCACAATCTAATTAGTCTTCCTTTTAATCTCTAAATTAATTCATAATTAATTTAAGACTGAGACTAATTAAATAACATGACTTCATATTAATATATTATAACTTATAATATATTAATAATCATAGGTGCATAACTCTCATAAAATTATCCATAAATAGTTTGGATGAAATGCAACCCAAATGGACCATGCCGGGTCGGGTAAAGTATATACCAAATAAGTTATGGACTTAGACATCTTATCCAACAGACTCCCACTTGGATAAGTCTAATAATTGTATTTGCCTATTACTTCAGGAACCAACCAGCAATCGTAGCTCTCGAAAACTCTGTTGAACTATGAAGCGCCATTTTAAGATAAGTGATCATATAATCCTCTGTTCTCATGATATCAGCCCGACAAACACATGGAACTATGTCTTGCTTATTGTCTGACAGTTGTTTCTCGATTTCCGATTTGTTTGACAAAGAACTCAACTGAACACATCAATTTAATTCTGACCGGGACCGGTACATGGGTCAACACAAAATCATCGAGGGGCCCAAATATCGCTTCTATTTCTAGAAGGAACAGATAAACTTCGACTCATATACTTGTTCTACTACTTGTTGAATTGTACACAAAGGCACGTTTTATAACATCAAGTTACTGATGCGTTTACGTGCAATCAATGCACGACCAACTCATAGGTAACAACTTATATCTCTAGGTTTGAAGTCTTATACGATATTACCGTCTCACGATCACTCGAGATAAATTCCATGAAGTGATACAAGTGATCGTGGGTTTATTCCAATACTCATAACTTATGAGTACTCATGAACGTTGTAGCAACCATTACGATGTCTAAACACTTTTAGCCATCTACAAACCCAATTCATGACAATCTTGATTCATACCTACTTCCGATGTATGACCGATTGTGGAGGTTTGAATAAATTAATTATTCTGGAAGTCAAAACATGCAAAGCTGAAACAATTGTAAATAATTGACAATGATAGCAACTCCTTACTCATAAATAAATCACAATTTTATTAAACATCAAATGTCGATTACATTTTACAAATTTCAGAGAATCTATCTAATCTGTAAAACTAATATCGTCCCTCAGCCCGATGCGCCTCGCATGCTGAAAATGCTTAGACCTCATCAGTCCCTTTGTAAGGGGATCCGCAGGGTTCTCATCTGACGATATCCTCTTTGCCACGAGGAGTCCTTCTTCTATCTTGTGCCTTATGAAGTGATATTTTCTGTCAATGTGTCGGGATCTCCCATGATCTCTCGGTTCTTCAGCTAAAGCAACCGCACTATTGTTGTCGCAGAAAATTTCCATAGGCTCCTTAATAGTTGGCACAACTCCAAGGTCTCCGATAAAGTTCTTCAGCCATATCGCCTCCTTCGCTGCTTCACTCGCTACTATATACTCTGATTCACAAGGCGAATCAGCCACCGTCTCCTACTTGGAACTCTTCCAAGAGATTGCCCCTCCATTTAAGGTAAAGACCCAGCCCGACTGAGAGTGAAAGTTATCCCTATCAGTCTGAAAACTAGCATCACTATACCCTAATACTCTCAAGTCATCACTCCCACCAAGGGTAAGGGTCCAATCCTTAGTCCTCCGCAAGTACTTGAGAATGTTCTTTACCGCAGTCCAATGAGCCTTGCTAGGGTTCCCCTGATACCTGCTGACCATGCTCAAAGAAAAGGCCACATCAGGGCGGGTACAAGTCATAGCATACATGATCGAGCCAACAGCGGAAGCATACGGTAATTGGCTCATCTCAGCTATGTCTTCCTCTGTACTCGGACTCTGAGTCTTACTCAACCTGGTATTGCTTTGGATCGGTAAATCTCCTTTCTTGGAATTCTGCATGTTGAACCATTTCAACAGCTTATCCAAGTAGGTACATTGACTAAGTCCAATTAGTCTTTTACTCCTTTCTCTTAATATCCTTATCCCTAGGATATAGGAAGCTTCCCCTAGGTCCTTCATAGCAAAGCACTTCCCAAGCCAGGACTTAACCTCCTGCAAGGTTGGGATGTCATTTCCTATAAGTAGTATGTCATCCACATACATTACCAAGAAGCTAACTATACTCCCACTAGCTCTGACATACACGCAAGACTCATCTTCACTTCTCGAGAAGCCAAACTCTTTGACCTTCTCATTGAAACAAAGATTCCAGCTACGAGATGCTTCTTTTAATCCATAAATGGATTTCTCAAGCTTGCATACTCTATTAGGGTACTCTGCATTGACAAAACCCTCTGGCTGATTCATGTACACATCCTCAGCCAACTTTCCATTAAGAAAAGCGGTTTTGACATCCATTTGCTGTATTTCATAATCATGAAATGCAGCAATGGCTAACATAGCCCTAATAGACTTATTCTTTGCTACCGGCGAGAAGGTTTCACCATAATCAATACCCTGAGTCTGAGTAAAACCCTTCGCAACCAGTCGAG